CACAGCCTTTTTTGTAGGTCACTTCTATAAAACACTATTTATGTTTTCATAGAAGCAACTACCCACCCCATTAGGGTGCCTACATCTTTCCTGTATTTTAGACATAGGTAGTGATAGAAACCTGGAGCATTCAATCTGACACATTTTAATGTATACTGTATATAAGAGCATTTTTTTTTTTTTTTTTTTAGTTGTGGATAGTGTTGGGAACAGTTATATTCTGACATATTTTTCTATTGTGGTCCTCTATGGGGATATGTACTAATCTGTTGCTCCTAGTGACCATTTTTATTGAGACAAAAAGAAGCTCTGGGCTTCCCAAATTTGAGAGTTATGAGAGTAAGCTGAGGGCAAATTTTCCAATGGGGACAAATGTTTTGGTGGCATCTGTTGAAAATGTCCTCCCTTGCTGTTGCATCTCTAAGACAGCAAGTAAAGGAAATCTCCCCAGCAGGAAGCATGCAGCAAAAAAATAACCCAATGGGGTTTAAACTTTTCCTAACAAAATTCTTGGTTATACACACATTGTAAAGCTGAAGCTTAGTTTTTTTTTTGGGATACAGCACCAAGCACATTGTGCATGTGTAATGGCATTTTATCTCATTACCTGCCGGTGGCTGCTTCTGCTTTCTGCTGTGCCTTCCTAAAACAACAGTATAATGCCCAGAGTGGCTATCTTATGGTGCTTTGAAGGCTGATAGTTGCGGCTGCTACTAAGATAAGTGGCACCTCTCACCTGCCCCCTTCTTCCCTCTCAACCATTGACAGAATGCCTACTATTTTTTTTTTCCCACAATATGTTTTGTGGGTTGATGAGGAACCATCGTATGTTGTATATATACAGCGGGTAAAATTGGTATTGAACACGTCACAATTTTTCTCAGTAAATATATTTCTAAGGGTGCTATTGACATGAAATTTTCACCACGTCAGTAACAACCCATGCAATCCATACATAGAAAACAAAACAAGTAAGTCCAGAAATTAAGTTATGTGTAATAAAATGGAATGACTCAGGAAAACGTATTGCACACATGAAGATAGGGAGGTGAAAAAAGGTATGGAAAACTAAGACACCAGCTGAAATCTGTCAGTAATTACTAAGCAATCCTGCCCCTTGTCAGTGCAAATTAATATCAGCTGGTTCAGCCTCAACTGATGGCCTATAAAAAAAGTGTCTCATTACCAAGGCATCACACAAGAAATATCTCATGATGGGTAAAAGCAAAGAGCTCTCTCAAGATCTTCACAACCTTATTGTTGCAAAAAATATTGATGGCATTGGTTACAGAAGCATTTCTAAACTTCTGAATGCTCCAGTGAGTACTGTTAGGGCCATAATCTTGATGTGTAAAGAACATAATTTCACCATAAACCGGCAGCGACAAGGTGCTCCTCCCAAGATCTGACAGAAGAGTGAAAATAATTATCAGAAGTGTTGTCCAAGAGCCAATGACCACTTGTGGAGAGCTTCAGAAAGACCTGGAATTAGCAGATACAATTCTTTCAAATAAAACAGTAAGTAATGCACTCAACCGCCATGGCCTGTATGCATGCTCACCACGCAAGACTTCATTGCTGAAGTAAAAACATGTTGAAACTCGTTTAACGTTTACTGTACAACAAGCCTGTGAAATACTGGGAGAATATAATCTGGTCAGATGAGACCAAAATTGAACTCTTTGGATGCCATAATGCACACCGTGCTTGGAAGTGAAATGGCACTGCAATCCAAAAACACCATACCAACAGTGAAGTTTGGAGGTGAGACCATCATGGCGTGGGCCTGTTTTTCAGTATACGGTACTGGCAAACTTCATGTCATCGAAGGAAGGATGAATGGAAAAATGTACCAATACATTCTTGATAAAAATCTGGTGCCATCTACCAGGATGATGAAGATGAAACGAGGATGGATATTTCAGCAAGACAATGATCCCAAACACACAGCCAAGGAAATTTGTTTCAAAGAAAGAAAATAAAGCTGCTAGAATGACCCAGCCAATCAACTGACTTGAATCCAATATAAAATATATGGGAAGAACTAAAGATCAGCACAAAATGTACGAACACAAATTGCACTGCAAAGAATAGCATGGGATTTGAACAGGAATGCGATTCCTGTTCAAATCGCATGCCGTTTCCCTACTGCTCCTGTGTGAACCAGGCTGTCATAGCCTGAGTTCACACAGGAACGGTGCAGGGAGGTTTCCTGCAGCGGTGAGTGGACGTGTGGGGATCTATACTGTTGTGGCAGATGCTCCATATTCTCAGTGGTAGGAGAGGAGAGAAAGCGGCGGGGATTTGAAATCCCACCGCTTTCTCTCTTCTTTTCAGGGATGACAGTTCGGATTAGAGTTGTGTTGATTGGTCAGAACTGTCACTTGGACGGTGCTGACCAATCAGATGTCGTCTAGCCCATACTGTCATCCCTGCAAGGAAAGGAGAGAAAGCCACTTCAGAGGTCTGGGGATTTGAAATCCCCGCAGCTTTCTCTCCTCTTCTTGCAGCGATGACAGTACAGGCTAGATGCTATCTGATGGGTCAGCACTGTCCATGTGACGGTGCTGACCAATCAAAAACCCTCTAGCCCGAACTGCCATCCCTGCAAGGAGAGGAGAGAAAATGGTTGGGATTTCCAATTCCTGCTGCTTTCTTTTCTACCACTGAGAGTATAGACCTTCTAGTTCCATTGTATACAACCAGACACGCCCACTCTGCACTCAGCATGGGATGCCCACAGGGAGGTTTCCCGCACTGCACCTGTGTGAACTCAGGCTATGACAAACCAGGGTTTACACAGGAGCAGTGGGGAGACCGCATGCAGTTTGGACAGAAATTGCATTCTTGTTCAAACCGCATGCAGTTTGGACAGGAATTGCATTCCTGTTCAAATCACATGCTAATCTTTGCGGTGCAATTTGTATTGACGCTGTACATATGATCAGTTATAATACCAGTCATTTGATGGTTTGACAGTTTGGTTGAGAACACTAGCAAATGTGACAGTTAGCATTCCTGTTAGTTCCGCTTAACCAGTTGGCGCCGACTACACACAAATATGGCACCTCTTGGTGGCTGGGCCTTAATGACGAGCAGTCGCATATTTGCGTACCAAAAGTTAACGCCCTGTGCGCTCCCTGAACATTTACCGTTGCCTCACACCATACGTGCAGAAAAACTGATAGAAATTGATACGCAGATTTCACTTGCAGAGACATCGGTTTTCATGTGTGCTTCAATGAGTTTTATATGTGTTGTAGAATCCTGTGCAGAAAAAAATCTGCACATGATACCAGTGTTGTGGTGTGAACAGGGCACATAGAGAACAATTGATTTTGCTGTGCCTATGCAGAACGTGTGCAGAAAAACTGAAGTCTCTGCACCATGGTGTGAACAAGCCCTTAACCCCTGTGACGCCAGGAGATGGGGCAGGGTTTAGGGCCATGTGACTGCCACGATTGATGGTCACATGCTCAGAAAGGTCCCGATTACTACTTGCAATCGGGACCTTTCTGAGCATGTGACCATCAATCGTGGCAGTCACATGGCCCTAAACCCTGCCCCATCTCCTGGCGTCACAGGAGTTAAGGGCTTGTTCACACCATGGTGCAGAGACCTCAGTTTTTCTGTACACGTTCTGCATAGGCACAGCAAAATCAATTTTTCTCTATGTGCCCTGTTCACACCACAACACTGGTATCATGTGCAGATTTTTTTCTGCGCAGGATTCTACAACACATATAAAACTCATTGAAGCACACATGAAAACCGATGTCTCTGCAAGTGAAATCTGCGTATCAATTTCTATCAGTTTTTCTGCACGTATGGTGTGAATAAGGCCTAAATCTTTAGACTGTCAGCAGATCTGCCTATACAAATTTGGCACAGTGCCTAAAAGTGGAGAGCAATTGAGCATGTGCAGAACAGGCTGATACTGTGTTTTATTGGATTTTGAACAGCATTGGCACTTTTAATGTTTTACACAGCTATACAGTACCTGCAAAAAGGACCAGCCCGAAGTGATCTAGCAAGACTTATTTTCTGCCTAAAGTTCCACTTTAAGTAGAAATTTGTTTGGCTTCTCTGGTCTCTGGTACAGTGGACTTTTGTCATTGTCTTTAAGCGGAATTAAACCCATTGATTTAACAGTTTAAAAAAAAACAGTTACATTCCCAGAACGTGCTGAGAATGTAACTGTCACATTTGCTTGTACTCTCAAGCAAACTGTCAAATCATCAAATGGCTGATATCATAACTGATCACACATACAGCACCATAGTAGTTGAAGAGCAAACAAAGACTAAGATGGCAGCTTCCTTGGCTGAAAATGAAAGGAGGGCTTGGTTCCACTTTGAAGCTGAAGTTTAGTGAATTTTTTATTATTTTTTTTTAATAGCACCACGGACAGTACTTACAATGAACAATGCATATTGAAACCCCCTACATATCTCTTCAGCAGTGATCTTCCAGTGCTACAGGGGTTAAATTGAGCCACTGGAACTGTCACAGACGTTTGTCAAAAATGCCAGCTATACCCATCCTTTCCAACCCACCTGCTCCATTTATTAAAGCTGTACTATGGCTTCACGCAATGAAAGCGTTATCTGAATGAAGGTGAACCTTTAAATGCTAGTACAGGCTTTTATGAATGGGGGGGGGGGCAAAAAGAGTGGGCATTGTTGGCCTTTGTGACAAGTGAAGCCTCTTGCATTAACCCCTGCATCACCATAAGATCATAGATACAGGGGTACACAGGTGAAGATTTCAATGAACATTACAACCATCAGCACTTTTCATTTATTATCATTCAATTTAACTAATTGCCGACCGCAGATAGCCGGCCAGTTCTGGGTGGACGTCATATGACGTCCTCCCAGAATGTGCTCTCGGGGCGCACCCGGCGATCTCCGTAATCACGTGACGTGGTAAAAGGTGAATCACAGCGGCCTTTTACCACGTGATCAGCCATGTCCAATGACACGCTGATCACCGGGAAAATGAAAATGCCGGTTCTCAGCTGCACTTTCCTCACGCTGTCAGATCGTGAGAAAAGTACTGCCGCAAACTAGCAGTTGTCAGAGCGGGGATCGGCACCAATCATCAGGGTCACTGATCATCAGTGCCCTGATGATCGGTGCCCAGCAGTGCCACACACAAGTTCCGCCCACCTGTGCCCAGCAATGCACCCACCTGTGCCCAGCAGTGCGCCCACCTGTGCCCAGCAATGCACCCACCTGTGCCCAGCAATGCACCCACCTGTGCCCAGCAGTTCACCCACCTGTGCCACCCAGCAGTGTCACCACCTGTGCCCAGAAGTGCCACCTACCTGTGCCCAGTAGTGCCACCCACCTGTGCCCACCAGTGCCACCCACCAGTGCCCATCAGTGCAGCCCCAGCAGTGCTGCCAGTCAGTGCCCAGCGGTTGTGCCAGTCAGTGCACAGCAGTGCCGCCAGTCAGTGCCCAGCAGTGATGTCAGTCAGTGCTACCTATCAGTGCTGTCTATCAGTACCCATTACACTGTTCAACAGGTAAAAAGTTTTGGGCATAAAATTAGCTAATCTTACATAATTTTGGGGTGCTGAAGTTTCCATGATATATTCACCCATCTAATGACGTAAGCCATTCACAATTATGATGCAACTTCAGCTGCATATTGCACAATTGATACTGGTGACCAATAGAAAATTGCATGTATACTGAGATGATGCAATATTAGCCTTTAATTGCATCACTTCACTGCATAAAAGCTGCAGTATCTGTAGCTGATTGTAGTTCGACAGCGTCTTTACATTTCGTTTTATGCTTATATAGGCTACTCAGTAATGCCTCAAACTTGTGTGAATAAAGCAGATAATTTCTGCTATATCTGCGGTGAAATAACTTTTATCTCACAAAAAAGGAGGATAACAGGAATGATTAAGAAAGCCTACAACTTGTATTTTGGCTGCAAGATAGGAGACCAGGACAAGAGCTGGGCACCACATATATGCTGCAATTCTTGTGGGGACGGCACTGGAGCAATGGTTGAATGGAAAAAAGGCATCTATGCCTTTCGCTGTGCCAATGATTTGGAGAGAGCCAACAGATCATGTTAGTAATTGTTACTTTTGTATGGTGCCTCCAATTGTAAAAGGGCTAAATAAGAAGAAAAAGTTATCTGTGCACTATCCAAATATTCCATCGGCAATACGTCCAGTTCCTCATGGAGAGGGGCTACCAATTCCTAAAGCACCAGAATCCTTTGTGGTTGAGTCAAGTGAGGAAGAACCTGAAGCTTGTAGTCACGTGCAGTTGTAAGAGATAGCCCTTTCCTCGAATACAAGAGAAAAGCCAAGAGAAGCAAAACCGACACAAACTGAAGACAAAACTAGTGAGAATCCTAAGTATTAAAATGATTCAACTTAGCTTATGGCTATAATTTTTCTTGGTAATCCTATGCAATATATTATGCCATTTAGGCTTTGTTATGTAGTCAATATCACTTGCTTTATATTTGTGGAAAGACATCTATCTATATAATTATTGTGCATTATGTAGTCATTACGCCTATAGTAGAAAACTTTCCATTTACAGAAAAACTAGAGCCAATTGACAAATTTCATTGTTATATTTGAACTCAGAATGTGAAATTCATTAAGAAATGGATCCTTTTGTTTCCAAAACTGGCAAAAAATAAAAATTTGTTGAACAGTGATCAGTGTCACCTATCAGTGCCACCAATCAGTGCCGCATATCAGTGCCACCTATCCGTGACACCTCATTATTGCTGCCTATCAGTGCCGCCTATCAGTGCCCTTCAGTGCTGCCTATCAGTGCCCATCAGTGCTGCCTCATCAACGCACATCAGTGAAGGAGAAAAATTACCTGTTTGAAAAATTTTATAATAGAAACAAAAAAACGTATTTTTTTTTCAAAATTTTTTGCAATTTTTTTTGCTTATAGCACAAAAAGTAAAGTGCTCAGCAGCGATTAAATACCACCAAAAGAAAGCTCTATTTGTGAGAAAAAAATGATAAAAACTTCATATGGGTACAATCTTGCATGACCGCGCAATTGTCAATCAAGTGCGACATTGCTGAAAGCTGAAAATTGGCCTGGTAAATAAGGGGGTATAAGTGCCCGGTAGGCAAGTGGTTAAATAACGTCTTTTTTATATTTATTTAATAAAAAAAAATTGGAAGCCTAAATGACACTTTGATAATGCGCCCCTTTCATTTGTATATTCATATTAAATATACATGGTAATACATCTTTACTTTCTTTATATACAAATTTGTATCTTTCAACACTGCTTATAAGCCATTAGGACTTGTTAATGTCATGACTGACCGTGCTGACAGTGACAAGAAAGCTTTCAAGGAAATTTCTGGGGGCATGTAGTTTTAACTAGCATCAAAAAAGCTGGGATTTAATTGCTGTTCTGATCATCCTTTTATTTACTATTTGTCCCCACAATCTTTTTTTGGCTCACAGTTAATTTACTTTCCAGGAAAGTGGGTACTGACTAAAGAGTACGTAATTAACAGCGCAGAAAGCGGCAGATGGCTTGATGAAATGACTTACGAATGGGGATATAAAATGGAAAGAGACGCCCATTATTCACCTCAGATGCAATCTGCACCAAAAAGATGGCGCGAACACCTGACACACACTCGTGCTCTTGGGGCCTTCAGCAGATGGAAAGTGGTCCTTCTCATTCAGGATGCTGATAAAGAAAGGGAGTCTTTTCTGAGGTAGGATGTGAATCTCCTCTGCTAAAGACGGGAGATAAAAGACCACTTCATTTCATGCATTTGGTTACGCTTAGCTCTGTCATCTTTGTAAAGGGCATGTGTTTGTGTTTTTGAATAATATGTACACCATCACAATTAAATTATCTTTAGCGTATAAGTTTCCACTGTATTTTCATTTTTAAGCTTTAGTGTGTGGGTTGTGTTGCAGTTATATACATCCAAGGTGTTTTCCTAATAGTCTTAACAAATGTTTCATCTTAAAAATGCAGATAGCTAGTCAGATTGAATCTTCCCAAGTATAATCATTTTTACTTGAGAACTAGAGATGAGAATAATAACTACTGCATTTCTATACTGTAGTTCTGTAAGTTGTCAGTTTCAGTGCTTGCAGTTGTTTCCTCCTACTATTTTCCTCCATAAGTTTCATTTAGGTTTTGCTGCAGTACTATATAAGTACTAGTATATGAGTAGAATGATGTAGGGAGAAATAGAGGGAAAAGGGGATTTGCAGATGACAGAGGGTTTTGTGTATAGTAATTTAGGAAAGAACCTTGATGACTCAAAAGAAATGTTAAGACGTAAAGTGGTTGTAAAAAAACCTTCTGTGTGCAGCAGCACCCCTAATACTTACCTGAGCCCCATCGCGATCCAGCAATGTGCACAAGAGCCTCAGCTCTCCGGGGACCCTCCCTTCTCATTGGCTTCCACTGTTGTCAATCACTGCCAGTGAGGAGTGCAGGGTGGATTTGATTTACATCAAGTTGATTTAAATCACTAGTGAAAAGGCTCGATTTAAATCATAATTTTTAAAGAGCAACTGTCATCTCTGTCTCATAACGGCTCCTCCTCTGACCCGCTGTTGACTCACCGACAGTCCCACTCACTTTAATGGGACAGCTGGTGATGTGGCAGTGACACGACAAGGTGAGGGACGTGGCAGCAGCAGGTGAGTGGATGCTCGCTAACAGGTGCTGCCATGATGGTTCTAAAATTACAGGTGCTCTTTAAATGTAAGAAATCCAACTCATTCTTGCTGGTAGTTAGAATCTTTAATATTTGCAAACCTAATGAAGGTTTCCTTTTTAGAATAATAAGCTGTCAGGTTAGTAAAACAGGGATATCAGAACTGATTTTAGGTTAATAGGTTAATCACACATAGCTGGAGAACTACTCAAATTCTTTTATTTTATCTTTTTTCTCATGGTTACAGCGAAATTGTGTGAATGCATCAATGCAGTGCATGTTATCTCAGCTTACAGAGCTTGGATTCATTGAACGAGTTTGCCAAAGATGTAAATATTGCAGAATATACAGCCTCATGCTACATAAGTAAGCTCCATTTCATGCTGAATAAACTAAATTATTAATGTATCTTAAATAGAAAGCTATCTTTAGATAGATTTTTATTCCAAAAGCATTTTATTAAAATAAATTTGATAAAAGTGAAAAAAAAATCCAATTTAAATTAAAAGAAAAACTGATTTAAATAAAAATAAATCCAATATTATTATTTATCTGTTTGAAATCATTGATTTTTATCCAGCCTGGAGGGGAGGGAGTGGGTGGGGTCAAGCAACAGCTCTTTGTGTGAATGGATATGCAGAGCAGCGGCTCAGGAGGGAGGCTGCTTGGGTGCCTCCAAAGCAAGCTGCTTGGTCTGTGGGCAGTCAGCAGGAGGGAGGGGGGCCAGGAGCACTGGCAGGGGACCCGAGAAGAGGAGGATCAGGGCAGCTGTGTGCAAAACCACTGCATAGAGCAGGTAAGCATAACATGTTTGTTTTTGTTTTTTTTTTTTTATTGCCTTTAATATCACTTTAACAATGATCTTCAAGCTTGTTTTACTTAACTTTACTTAAGGCTAGGTTCAGACTGTTGCGGGTGGGTGCGGGACAGTGTGCAAATTGCACCTATTCCTGTACCTGCAACCACCAGCAGCCAAAACTGCTCTTTTGCAGATTCCCAACCCCCACACACCTGAAATGCAGCATGTTTTCGGGTGTGAGAAATTGCTTGAATCAAATTTTCATGCAATTTCCTGTGGCTGCATTTTTAAAAAAGGTGCAGGGACCTTTTTCTGTGCAAGATGCAACTGCTGTGCTCGGGCAAACATGAGCCACAGCAGATGCATAAGTGTGATCTTACCATAACTGATGATTTTTTTATTTTCCTTTTGTGAACTAGACATTCCTTATAAAAGTAGTGTAAACACAGCTCTTTGTCTATTCTAAGAGTATGGCAAGTGAACTCTTGAGTCAATTAGTATTACATATTTAATTAGGGCTTATTCACACTATATGCAGTGATCTGCATTTTTCAACACAATAACAGTGCAGTTCACCCCTATGGTACAAAGAAAACAACTGCCTTGTTCACACCACAATGCAGCAGAGATGTGCAGTGCTGTCACTTTGTGCCACTTCAGTAATGTTTAGGGAAAATGTAAGCATCTCACCACTGGTACACAACAGACACTAGTCCACACACAAAAACACTGCTGGCTGGTGTGAACAAAGTCACAGCTCGCATTAAATGACAGAGGTGTTCATGTAAGTTATAGCTGAATGGGTCAGCTCTTGATCTGTGGATAAAAATAAAGATGGATTCCTGGTGAGTTAATGTGCTTGTAACTTACCGTATTTTACTAT